TGCCCCGATGGTCGTCTCAAGACTAGTCCATGACCGGAGAGTGCTCGAAATCGTGCTGTTGAAGGTGAGGATCAAGCTAAGGGCGACACCGACCGCTGCACCATTATACTGGTCGGCCAAAGAGGTTGTCATCGCAACGATAATCACTGCCAAAGCCGCAACAATCAAGCCCATTACAAGTGTCAGCCATTGTTGTATGCAATACAGCATATAAAAGGGTCTTTGTGAATTATTGAGGAGCATATGCATCTTCTCCTGGAACCAGTGCTCCATCCCAAAAGCCCGGAGAGTGGTGACTCCGTGCACTGCTTCCGTGAAATGCGTGTAAAGGGGCGCCTTGGCTTCCAGTTCCAGTAGTCGTACCTGTCGAGACGTGCGAAGGTAATATCTCTGGAGGATCGCTAGACTGACCAGAAGCACTGGTACTGCAACTGCGAGGTATTTGCTGACGATGCAAAGAATGACCAATTTAACCACGCAACTTGCCAATCCTGCGTTGGTTGGCGTTAGCTTCTTAAACTTAGCCGTTCCCAACCCCCGCTTCTCGATAGTTTGATAGGAAGGCAAATATGAAAAAGGGGGAAGAGCATTACCGGTCAAGAATATAGATGCCACTAACGGTAGCATCATGTCAATCAGTTCCATGTCTTGACTGAATCTGTTTGTTAAGGCCCCAATTTCTGTGTCTTGAAAGAACCTGAACGGCGCACTGCCATAAATGGTCAGCAAAGACGTGTGAAATTTGAAGAGGTTATTTGAGCATACCTGAGAGTCGCAGACAGAAGATCTGTATTGAGATTCAACGCAGTACTGTTGATCATGTTTATAATCAGAAGCCTGTGACAGCCATGGTGCAAGTTAGTTATCCAGTAATCGACGACATTGTCTTAAAAAATTAGAATTCACATACCACAATCCACCCAGGGTACCTATGAGCTGTATCACGAAGAGCAGAGCATATATCCCCAGATACATACCCACGTCTTTGTTAGAACTCCTTTCATTGGCCTCCACCCACCACTTGATCCATAGAGCTAATCCAGACCAGACATTAGCTTGAGAGATATAAAAGAATGACATAGATACTCTGGACGTACTTTTAAAATCCCCACTGATTGCCTCCACAATAACGAAAGCTAGACAGGTTGCAAACGGAACGAACCCTGCACTCTGATAATAGTATCTGTACACCGACCAAGTCCCTTCGCGTCGCAGAGGGCTCGGAGAGTCTGGAACTGAAGGCTTTGCAGCCGTGTTGTTCACCTCATCCTCTTGGGTCATGGAATCCTCGTGATCAGCGATATCAACAGTGCTCTTTGTAGACCTGTCCGCGCTTGCGGGGTTTTGGAGTTGCATCACATTTTCGGGCGACCCGGTTTTCATGATTCTGCCTCCTTCGAGAACGACAAGCTCATCTGCATATTGGAGTAGGCGTTCTTTTCAATGTAAGAATACATGATCTTCGCATTCGAAAAGGAAAAGTCACAAACTTACCTGTATGAGTTGCTAGGAGAACTGTCACCCCGTATTTACGAAAATATCCGCCTGGGCCAAACAAGCGTGTAGCAATCATGTTGATATTATTTGGGTTGAGACCACTGAAGACGTCGTCCAGGACCACGAGTCGTTTCCTCGAGTAGATAGCACGGCACAGTGCAATTCGCTGCTTTTGACCGCCACTAAGTGAAAGGCCATCAGTACCTGCACGGTACAGATCACCACCCGGCATATTTGACAGCTCTTCTTTGAGACCACAAGCCCAAATAGCGACCTCATACCATTTGGGATCGAATAGTGACCCGAGGATAATGTTTTGGCGAACTGTATCATCGATAATCCAAGGGACTTGGGAACAATATGCCAGTCGAGAATCTGCAATCCGGACGTCTCCAGATCTTACTACCGTTTCCCCCAGTAGGCTAGAGAGCAAGGTGGATTTTCCGGATCCCACTGGCCCAGTCAGCATGGTAACCCCTGGCCCAACACACAGGGTTATGTCATGAAGCTTGTTTTCGCCGGTCTTGGACCATGCAATGTTAGCTCCATGGAAGGAGATTGGGACGGTCTCGGTTCCTGATTTCGGTTGGAGCGATTGCAACTCCACTGCAATATCAACATGGGTAGATGAAGGTGTGGGTGGCCCTGTACACGTGCTGAGTAACTCCGACTCCTTTGCACAATATTCCTCAATGCGGAGGTAACAAGCCATCGCTTGCCGCAGAGCAGGAACAGACTGGATAAAGGTAATGAGTGGGTTGGTCACGAGGGATATCAGCGAAAGAGATGTAAATGCCTGACTGGAAAGCAGTGTCTTATTGTGCGTTGCGACCGCGATTATAGTATAGATGGCGAAGGTGGCAAACGGAGCAAAGTCGGTCGGCACATTAGCTGTGAAAGATCAGTATACCAACGCTATCAAGTAGATGGATTTCTCCCCTACATATAGCAATTTCCCATATGAGCAACTTCCGAAAGCGCTCAGAAGTCTTCAGCTCGATCTTCCGCAAGTTGGACATAGTTTGGAACATGACCTGAGAAAGACCGAGCATCTTGATGGACTTAATATCGCGTAGCATACTGGACGTCTCTGTCACTCTCGTTTGGACGCATTCAACCCATTGCTTCTGAGCGTGACCTGATCTGTTAGAAATGGGCCCAATGGCCAACACCGAGGCTATACAATGTTAGTCGAGTTCTGTCAATCATTGACTCGCACCAAGGGAATTGTAGGTACCAATTGCAATAACCGCTGGAACGACACAGGCGATGAGAAGCTGCCGCTCTAATAACCATATTGCGATACCCACTTCAAGGACCGAGGCCCATGTCTCGTGGATTGTCTTCTGACTCTGTACGATCCTTTCTACATCGGTTCCCATGAGAGTCATCGCTGCGGAATCGTTGATGTCGCTGGCCTTGAGATGTGTTGTCTGCTTGAAAACCATAGCAATCAAACCAGAGCGAACTTTGGTATTGAACCGATTTGTTTGGCGCCAATACACCGCGGTAGATATCTTGAAGGGTATGTTAGTCTCCTGTGTATCTATTACTACAACGGTAGACCACTTACAGCCCAGCCTAGGTAGACCAGAACGTATGCCCCGACAATGGCTTGACCGCGATTTTTGCTCTCTGATGTTTTGTCATTCTGTATGTAGTCAATTGTGGCGGTAATGAGGAATGGCTGACAGAAGCTGAAGGCGGAAAGACACAGACGAGGCACGATTGCTGACAGGAACGTTCTTCGATAGGCATAGAAAGTAGAACGGAGCAACCGATGATTGCTAGTCCTTGCTGCCCAAGCCTTCTCTAGCTCTTCCTGAGTAAATTGTGCCCGTTGATCGGCATCCATTTCAGGGATGTCATCAAGTCCCAGCACTTTCGAGTATCCATCTTGAAGAACCGGGAACACCCAAATGAAGAAGCTTTGACCCCAGAATCCCAAGACCCCTTCCTTTGTTGTTTTCTGGTACATCGGCTGCAAGAACCGAAGTTTATGTGTGGACTCGGAAATGAGTACTCCGACATTGAAAATGAGAATAATTGTCCATAATGCCCGACAAGCCACACTGGCGGTAGGAATATGCCACAACGAGCGAAGCTGGGGTAGTGAGAGCAGTACTTCGGCTGAGTAGTAGAGTACTAAGAGATCGGATGGCTTTATCGAGCGCTGATCCTCGAGAAATGAGAGCAAAATTGCCGCCCCAGTTGCAATAATGTTCCCAATTCCCGAGGCAAGTCCTGCGCGAGTATGGAGATCCGGGTCTTCAACGCGCAAAGCTGTGTACAGAATATGTAGAACGAACAATACACCCAGCAATATCTAAATGCTCACATTCAGTCAACGATCATTTGAAGTATTACTATAACCTACCAGCTTCACAAATGCCAGCCGAAAAGAATTAAGCTTGACTTGGGTATTGCGAAGGACTTGCAGTCGCTGGGGGACTAGAACAAGGAAGAGTGCAGCTGGAAGCAGCCCAAAGAAGCCATCTTCAAAAAGCAAGGTAAAATCGAATGGACGACACTCGGGGCTGACACGGGGCCCAAACACATTGTCACTTTCTGAGGCGCATGCCATGTTAGTTGACAGGTACAATGATCAGAAAGAAGAAGGGACAGTGGGGATGTTGGGGCGAAGAAATACGCGCCATGGTTCCTTTTAAGTGCAATTAGTACACTACGTGAACATACGCAATTCAGCTGACCCAATAAATCTCAAACGCCTTATCTTTGCAATTTATTTATCACCGTAGGCACAACCTGCCCCCTGGCTCGTTAGTCGCAGATAGCTGCCACTACCAAACTGTCTCCGACTAGCGAATTATAAATATCTGATTGGTTCCACTGCTACCGGCCTACGACTCTTCTGGTATAGACTAGTCAAAGATGACATGAATCCCTGCCATTAATGGACTTTTTATCCATGGGTAAGGCACTAAGCATCACAAGCATTGCCAAGCTTGAGCCATCCCATCTTTGGGTGCGCACTGCTGATGCGGTGGCTATGACCGACTACTCCTATGAGGTCGGGCTAAATTACGGACTCCGGCGCACGGAACACTGGTTCATCAAAATTATATGTTATCTTATCACTTTATACTGGCGGAGGTCTTCATCCCACACTATGTTTGTTCCAAGGGAAAGGTTGAGCATCGATGTGATGATGATATCGGAAAGGTGAAATTAGCACTATCCTGCCACCCATCCATCTTTCATACCTACTATCGAGGATAGACATCGTTCTCACCCAAAATATGCATCCCAATCATAGTGTTCGAAAGACGAGCTCAGTTTCTAAGCCAGGGAAGCATCCGCCGGTAGTTCCAAAATGAGGATAAGGCTGCCACAAGGAATGTATCGCTCCACTAGCACCACTCTTTCTCATCCCTGTCGTACTCGTCACAAAACTGCCCCAATTCATGATCCGCAGGATGCAAAAGCTCCCTGTAAGCTTGACACTTGAAACAGAGCCAGAGGTTATCACATACTTGGTAGTTGATATTGAAACCGACGACAGGCAGAAAGCAACCGTCACAGAATAAACTGCCCTTGAACTCAGCGCCAGGTAGCAGCTGATTTACTTCGAGATCGTCCGGCACCAGGCGTTCTTTGACGTCCTGGTCAGCGTCGTGATAAATCGCTACTTCCACTGGCATCCACTCATTTTCCCTTGCTCTCCCTTTAGCGGCGAGGTCGTAACCTAGTTCTACCAGGTACTCAACCATAGGAACCATATCTTTCCTATCATCAGTCAAGGGAGAAACACATCTTGCCGCCCAATGTAACGGGGTCCATCCATCCTTATCGACCAACTCCAGATACGTATCCTGGTAATCAGGATGCTGTTTATGGCCCTCCAGAACCTCTTCCACCAGCTCCACGTCCCCACTAATCACGGCGTAGTGCAATGCTGTGCGACCCATCGAGTCTCGGGCCACAAGGGCATTCTCACTGGGGCTTAATTCACGGTAGTGCTCTAGCCCGCGATAACATACGAGATGAGCAGGAGTCCTCCCAACCGAGTCCTTGTAGTCGGCGTCAGCTCCTTCCGCCAAGAGAAGTTTTATGACCTCCGGCGCGCTACTCAAACACGCCTTGTGCAGGGGCGATCGCAAGTTCCCGCCCCCATCGTTGACACGAGCCCCATTATGAATCAAATACCGAATAACCTCCAGGGTCTCCTCCAACTTGGAGCCATCGACTTTACGGCCGCAGGTCGCCTGCAACGGGGTCTCACCACCCCCCGGGGCCGCAAAATTGACATCCGCCCCAGCCTTTGCCTGGATGCGCACCATGTTCAGGCTTCCGTAACGACATGCAATATGGAAAACTGTGCCTTCTCCCACGACTTTATTCAGTTGTCCGATCAAAACTGACGCCAGATATCTGGTGACGAGCTCATTGTTAGCCAGCACGGCGACCCAGATCGCGCACTCCCCTTTTTTGTTGGCGTCTTCTGGAGTGGCGCCACAACGGATTAGATGCTTGACAGTGGCCACTTCCGTTTTCTGGTTGATGAGGTGCAGGACACCTATCCCCGAACTGCATTTCCGGTCTAGCTTCGGCTGGTACTCCAGGATCAATGGTACGGCGCCTTCACAGTTGTGCTTTACGGCCCATTGCAGCGGAGTATAAGAGTCCTGGCACTCGCGGTTGATGTCCACACCGGCCTTCAACAGCAGGTCGACGATCTCGGTGTAGCCGTGGTAGATTGCTATTGGCAACGGCTGCTCTTGTTCTCCTAGATACAGATCCGGCTTAGGAGTATTGGCCAGGAGGACTCGAACCACCTCAACATGGTTACCTTTGCACGCGAAGTACAGAGGACAATGTATGTCCACGTCAGCCCCTCGTGAGAGAAGGAGTCGGGTGATTTCCAGGTGCCCAAGCCGTGTAGCAACGTGGAGAGGTGCCTCGTCATAAGCATACTTCTTCAGGTTGACATCAGCTTCAGATTCCAGCAAGCAGCGGACGATTTCAATGTGTCCCAATTCTGTAGCAATAGATAGGGGTGTCATGCAGGTGTACAGGTCTAACTGGTCAACATTAGCTTTGAATTCGAGTAGGAGCTTCACCATCTCTAGGTTGCCCTTGTCCGTCGCGTAGTGAAGGGGTGAGGTCTCCCATGTTTTAACGTCCAATTCGGGGCTTGGATTTGCCCCTGCTTCGAGCACGAGCCTAGCAATTTCAATCTGATTGTATCGCACGGCATATACGAGGGCCTTCGTGGCGTCAGATACTGGGAACCTCTCATGATCTGCCAGAATTATCTGAACGCACTCCTTGTGCCCTTCGCGAACGGCAGCCAAAAGTGTTTTGGTCCCTTTTTTGCAACGGCGACAGAGCTCTCTCTTTGACTCGGACATGTTCATGTTGGCTGAGGGTGGTTATTCTGACCGAGGGATCTGTTAGTGCGCAAGGATATAAGTATGTATGTAAACACTTGAAACTAAAGCAAGTATCAACACAAAGGTAATGTCTCCTCGATATAGGCAATGCTAACTTCAACGGGAGAACTTCCGGTGCTGCATAGGTATGACGAAGACGACTCTGAGCACCGAAACTGCAGTACTGGAATCTTCCACACAGATCCTTGTTCGACGAAATTCTGAGGCCATATAGGCCACCGTACAGCACAAACCTAAAATGATGAATCTTCGACTACGGCATTCCGCGTAAGGGTGATTTGAGCTCTGCCATGCATATAATATAGAAATGCTCAACAGTACACACGCAAAGACAAAAGAATTCGTGGGGAACTGTATGGCTGTTCCAAAAGTTCTGCTCATGAATACAATAGAAGGGAAGTGGTATGGAGTAGCTTTTTCTCCCTTCAGATAAGTTCTGGGAAGCGGATGGAAAAATTCACGGCTGGATCTTTACTAATTTTCATAATTATCTTGGACCCATATCGACTATGCTGATAAATAGTAACGGGGTCAATTGCCGGCATTCGAGCATACTATAAGGAAATGACATATCTTCTTGCACGTAATGTCCAAGGTAGAGGCGATTCACCTCGTCCAATGCGATGAGGTATTTGAGCGTGCATCAGCTCAAAGATCGGAAATTCATCTCCCAATAATGCACATTTTACTAGTCAATAAATGCAATATATATTTGGTAAGCAATCTCCCAGGGACAGGTATATAAACCTAGTGCCTGGCCTCGAGCCTGGCTGCATGCTGGGCGTGTGTACGTTAGCCAAGCCTTCCATCAAGATTCCATCCTCAATCCTGAGAATTTCATTCGGCAAACCCTGAGTGGGTCCGTGATAGAATGGCTCCAAATGCTAGCGGTCAGCATTTAGCGCCACTGGACCCCCAAAACGTCCAGTGGGCCCGGAGTTATGAAAGCCAAAGTGCTAAAATCCGATTTAAACCTCAACCTTGTAGCCACCGGCTGAAACTTGAGTAACTGAGATTCTGTTAGCGGTCAGCAATCTGCGTGCAGTCGTCTTTCCACAATCTACTATCCTCGATCACCTAGCCATCATTTGATAGTCCAATATGAGGGCCCGCGATGCTTCCCCGCAGTCAGCAAATCCACATGTCATCTATGTCGCTGAGAAACTCCCCGATGATGACTGGTACGGTATATCGGATGTGAAGGAACGTAGGAGGCGCCAGAACCGGTTGAATCAGAGAGTACGCCGTAAGTCATCGTGGAGATACCAATTTCATGATTGGACCTGAGGACACTCGCTGATGTATAACCAGGTTATAAGGCAAGACTCGCGCAAGCTCGATCTACTTCTTCAAACGGACACTACCATCCAGTCACAACGCTTCAAACGCCCTTGAGTATAGAGTCAACTGGCCAGCTCCAAGCTTTACAACCTCATCCGGGACAAGACGTAGAACCCGAACTCGCAACCCTCACCCGCTTCTATAGAAGCTATAATGCCAGCGAAGCTAGCAAAGAAACAACCACCCGGAACACAACATCCATCCAAGCCAAAATCGATGCATTATGTGCCAAAATGCCCAGCACAGACAAGGTCAACATCTTACTACAACAATTAGCCAAGTTCCACTCCAGTTACCAGTTGAACTGCCCACAAGCAGACCATCTCCTCTCCCTCACGAGGATGAATGTCCATCGCGCATTCGTTGCAAACATGGCTACTCTCGGTATTACATGGGAGTGGATGAAAGACGACTCGATATCTCCCTTCTCACTCGTGAGGCCTGGACATGATGACCTTGTTGCTACGACTCTACCAGATAGTCTACGGCCCACGGAGCTTCAGCGCCGCAGTCCTCACCACACTTGGATTGACTTGTTTCCGTGTCCTATCATGAGGAATAATCTGATTCGGGTAGGTGATGATTGGGATGATGAGGAGTTGTGTACGGATATTATGGGGTTCTGGGATGGGACTTCCACTGGACCCTTTGGGTTGATTATCTGGGGAGAGCCTTCTGACCCTAGAAGCTGGGAGATTACGGAAGGGTTCTTGAAGAAATGGGGTTGGTTGGTACATGGGTGTGTGGATTTGATGTGGTCGACGAATCATTGGCGAGCGAAGCGTGGAGAGAGGCCGTTGTTTTCGATGACTAAGGTATATCGTCAACTGGGTCAGACATAGTTGCAGAATTAGTCTAGGAGACAAATGGAATTAGGAACATGAATCAAAGAGGACGTATTTATTATTATATCGTCGTTTGTGACACCTGCTAGGCACCGTACATGTATAGCGGTTCGTTAAATTCCTGACTGCCACAAACTTATTCCAGGGTTATCATTATATATTGTAGAGAAGAGCTCGTCTTCATAAAGAGCTGGAGACACAAAGGAAAACAACATCAGACCCATTACTTAGCCGGAGATCTACAGACACCACACCGTAGCTTCATACGGCTATCACTCACTTAGCACTCGTTCTAACCAAATCTCCGAACCGAGACCCCGGCTGCGCCGCCAATTTCCCAGGGTTCCCAATCTCCACGATCTCCCCGGTATCCATCACAACCACCCGATCAAAATCCATGATCATGTCTAGCCTATGGCTCACAGCAATGACGGTATAATGTCTGAATTCCGTCCGGATGATATCCTGCATCACTCGCTCCGTCTCATGATCCACACTCGAGCTGACCTCATCCAGTAGCAGTATCCCATTGCCTGAGCCGTTCTGTGCCCGAACACGACGTCTCAGAAGCGCACGGCCAAGCGACAGGAGTTGGCGCTGGCCGGCACTGAATGTGCCTGCGCTCATGCCAGCAGTCAAGCCACCACGTTCCTGGACAAAGTTCCACAGCCCCACAGTGGTCAGGATGGATTGACATTCTTCAGGTGTGGATACGGAGGAGGGGTCTAGGTTTGCTTGTACGGTGGAACCGTCTGGCAGGAATACGGCTTCCTGGGGCACTGCGATGATACGTTGGCGCAGGGAAGGTCGGTTGATTCGGTGGAGCGGAATGCTATCGATGGTTGCGTTCATGGCAGTTTCTGGGAGGGGGTCGAGAAGTTTGAGCAGGAGGGCAACGAGACTGGATTTTCCGCTGCCGGTCCGTCCGCAGATGGCAACTTTAGAGCCGGCGTTGATGGAAAGTTGAATGTTGCGGAGGGCGAGAGTGGCCGTATCGTTGGGTCCGTTCTCAGCAACGGGGTTACTCCTGATGAGCATTAGCTTTGCATGGTGGCGTTTGCCTGGAAAGATAGCTCCTTTACCCGTAACTTGCGGATACGCCTTTCAGCTCGACTATTCCACTCTGGGGCCACTGTTCAGAAGGGATTATGTCCTCGCTGTCCGTATCCTCTGGCTTCACGGTTTCTTTGAAAGCCTTGAGTCTTGCGATTGCTCCAATGGACGTCTCTAATTTTGTGTAAAAGATGACAATACCGGAAATGCTATCGCCGAAGCTCATCAGAGAGACCAAAGAAGCACCAGCGAAGGCGGAGTTTGAATGAAGCCGAACGGCCAATGTCGTCAGTACCACTGCTATCACCATTACCACAAGGTTGAGAACAAGGTTCAACCACTCTTGGATCATAAGCAGAAGATAAGCAGGCTGCTGACTGCTATTGACTAAGCGAGCATTCTTCTCAACTTCGTTTGTAAGGAAGCCTTTACGGTCCTCAGTTAGCACGGCACTACATCATTCGAAGGACCAAGTATAGCGGCAGGCATGAGGAAGATACTAGGTTGGCCATAGGATGGACAAATATGCCATAGCTTACTCACCGAAGGCTCTGATAGTCGTGATGCCCTTGAGAGTATCAAGGAAATGCGTGCTATACGTCCCGGTCAGTTGACAGATAATGGTACGAAATAATTAAACTCACTATAAGGGACTTTTAGCCTCAAGATCCAGGAGCCTCAGCTGTCTAGATGTCCGAAGATAAAACTTCTGAACTACATAGAGCAGGGCAGCAAGGAAAGGATAACTGATGGCCAAGTACACAGACGAAGTGAGCATGACAGCCGCTTGTCCGATCGCTTCGAAAACCTGTGAGACCTGTGTCAGAACGAATGGAGACTTTCTCCAGGGCTTTTTAGAGTGTCCTGTCAGAAGGCATACTTACACAAACGATGGTGTTGAGTGTGGCCTCGGGTAGCTCTGTGTCTATCAAATTCAGATCCTGCGAGAACAGATTTGCCACGATTCCGGTATCCGTGTTGGTAAAAAAGTGAAGTGGCGCCTGGATCAATGTTCGCAAGGCTTCCTGATGTAGACCGGCCCCAGCTCGTTTCACGGCAATAATGAGAAGCGCAAGGGCCGTGACAAGCAGGGATATCATGCAGCATATTTGGAACGTAGCGTATATGCTAGCGTAGTATGCG